TGCAGCTTACAGTTCTGGGGTTAACACTAATTGTTTGCAGAAGTGTGCAGTTTGGATTGAGTAGACGTTTGTTGCGTTGTGGCGCAGCTTTTGGGGCTCGCTGAAAACAGCTCTTCATGAAAGATAAACTTTCCTGCTTTTTTTCATGTTGTTCGTAAACCTTTTCTGTCACGTGGTGTGAGCTAAACGTCCAAAATGGGATATGAGCATTTTGTCTTCAGCTCCATGTTACTGTGCTTCATGCTCTGCATTCCTGAATACTGTGTAATTGTAAGGGGCCTCTCCTAAACTCTGTCCCTGGGAATTTGATATTTACAGCAGCCCCTGATCGTAATCACCTTGCCGTTTTCATTATACTGTATTGAAACTGAAAGATAGCAACAGCTGTATATATTGTTTTAAAAAGCATGTCCAGCCTTGAGTTCTCACTGGTCTGCTTAATGTTATGAAGATGTTTTTCAGCAACTTTAAAAACTGGAACAGACTTTCAAAAACATCTTTCTTCTCAAATTGTGTAAAAAAGTATTTTATTCAAAATTGACAGAACAAAATAAAGATGTTCTCAGGAGATAAGCAACCCCTTGCTTATGTTTCTACTCCATGTTTTACTTTCAAGAGACCTGATGAACCTTGAAGAGGTAGGGGACCTCATGACCCAACCTCATCCCCCCTTACGACTCCTGTAGAGGCGTTTTCTCCAACCCTGAAAACCTATACATTCTTACTGGGAAATGTATTCTTTACAAAGTTTCAGACATGTAAGAGGTTCCTGGATGTGAAAGGGAATTAAATTTATAGCCAAATCACTAGATCATGATTTAGCGCTCAATATCACTACGCACAGCACGATGAAAATGAAGCCTGCATATTGCAGAGGAATGATTTTTACAAATGTTTCAGGTATAAAAATGCACTGGGGAATGTCATGGTCGTAAGTTTTGCACTTATGTCGCACACTCTGGAAGTTTGATACTACTTTTGAAAATATTTTTTATTCACTAGGATCCTGTGTGATATACCAAGCATTTTATGTTAAATTAGATTATTTTCAGGCCAAAAACATATGATTTTTTTGTTGTAATTTGTTTTGGAATACGAAAAATGGCAAA